GTGTGCGGCTCTGAGTCCATGCCGCTTTTGCGGCTTTATTAAAAATCAGTTTGTGTTTTCAAGAGCGTGTTTTTATTCGTGTGAATGTAGCAGGAAGAAAATGAGTTGATATTGAGGGAGGTCCGCGAGTTGTCGTCTCGCATTCCTTTCCCTTAGTGTATCGCCTTATTCGTTTGCTCGTTTTAGGATGTTTAGCAAATCGAGTGAGCGTTTAGATATAGACGAAGATACATGCCTAAGTTTCTAAGTGCGGAAAATTCTAGGTCTAGAAAAGTTGTAAAAGTCTCAAATGAGAGCTCTTGAAATTGTCCCCTTGCTTCTGCCCTATGCCTCTTGCTTATATACTCCCTGCCTTGGCGATTCGATCTTTCCATTTTGCCCGGATTTGAGTGTATCGGGAATCTTCCATTTTTCTCGATCCTTCCTTTTCTTCCGCGGAAATCTTCTATTTGTCTTCAAACTTTCCTTTTATCTTCGAGCTTGACATTTATTTTCCTTCTGCGAGTAAACCGCCAAAACGTTATCGTATCTTCGGGTTAGATTCTGTTGAGATCGCGAGATGGGCTTTTATCGCGTTTTAGGACCTTCTGGGCCGTTTTGCGATAAATCCGTTTCTCGACCTTGTACGGAATCGTTTCCTGATTCGATGCCATTTTTAGTAAATTCCTAGAGTTAATCGTAATGTTTAGCTACGTTTGTTTCTCGGTTAATCGTTTCCGTCTTTTACGATTTACTCGACATTTTTATTAAAAATACGTTTTTTACGACTTTAACGAAAAATCTCGGATAAATCGTATTGTTTAGGCGATTTCTTCGAGTTTTTTTCGAGAAAACGGAGTTTTACGATTTTTATCGTAAAATTCGAATAAGTCGGATCGAGACGAAACGAGAGACATTTCGGCCGTGGTTCAGAATGCGACCGTGTCGATGGACGTAAGTTTCGAATCGGGGATACGGGAGATCAAGGCTCGGGATGGTCGGTTCAACGTACGGAGAATCGAGCCGGTCCGATCAAGCTCGCTGGTTTGACGAACTGTCCGGGAAATCTCTAGTTTGCCTGCTGGGGAACTAAGCCAAGCTGGCTTAGTTCGCCAGCAGGCGAACTAGTCGGGAAGTTCCTAGTTCGCCAGCAGGCGAACTAGTCGGAAGCTTCTAGTTCTCATAAAAAACCCTGACCTTATATGCGAAATAAAAATATTTAATTCTCATATTGTAGAAAATCGTCACAGTTCTTGAGCAAATATGTATGCAAATGGATGTGCTCCTCTCAGTAAGTTTTCGCTTTTTTGGTTTACCATTAAGTCGTCCAATTTCTCAGAAGATATTTGGGACGATAACATTATACGTTTCCCTTTGCCCTCCATCATCATGCTAAGAAGGTCTCCATTTTTTATCTGCACTTCTGATGGAAAATAATTTTCAGCAATGTTTGCAGTTTCTTCATTAGTCACCAGTGCGACTATAGATCCTTCCACTTACTTAAATTTTTGACCTTCTTCTTCAGATGATGCATATAACCCCCAAAAAGATACATCTATCGGTATTGTACAGTGTGGGAACCAAAATTCACACTTGTCGATTTCCGTTAAATAAGGAAACTTAGGAAAACCCTTATTTTCCAGAGGAACCGGATCTCTGCGAAAGCCAACGATAAGCAACCAAATAAATGCGGAAAAATATGAAAAACTTAATAAAACGAATTTAAAGAAAAAGTAGATCTTATTTCGATTTCGCGTAAGCGCGTTGCGATCATTACAAGGGTTTACAAAGGCTTTGGCCGCAGGACCGTCAGCGAGTTATCAACATAAAAAACTTAAACATAATCGAGTCGAAGCTCGATAACAAAAGACGGAAAAATTTAAGAAAAAGGATTTGAATGATTTCGGACTGAACCTTATGAAAAGCTGCCTACGTACCCCTTTCGAGGATCGAGTCGAACGTAGTTCAGTTGATAGATCTGGACCAGAGATCGAACTGCCTGGGCGAGTTCGTCTAGCAATTGAGCGCCAGTCATAGAAACCGAACTTGTCGAGAAAAAGCCTAAGTTTCTAAGTGCGGAAAATTCTAGGTCTAGAAAAGTTGTAAAAGTCTCAAATGAGAGCTCCTGAAATCGTCCCCTTGCTTCTGCCCTATGCCTCTTGCTTATATACTCCCTGCCTTGGCGATTCGATCTTTCCATTTTTCCCGGATTTGAGTGTATCGGGAATCTTCCATTTTTCTCGATCCTTCCTTTTCTTCCGCGGAAATCTTCTATTTGTCTTCAAACTTTCCTTTTATCTTCGAGCTTGACATTTATTTTCCTTCTGCGAGTAAACCGCCAAAACGTTATCGTATCTTCGAGATTTATTTTCCTTTCATGTATTCCTTTGTAAGCAAATTGGTGTTCTGATCCTAATACGGTTTATCCATCCACGAATGATAACGATTTCCATAAGACATGATTGTTTTTTCAGATTTGTAGAGAATGAAGAGATAATAAAGAGTGAATGAGACAAAATGTGGTGTGGGGAGCTTGTATTTTTAGAGGAAAGTTGTTGTCAATTTCCGACGAATTTCCGACGAATTTCCGACTGAATTCTGACAAATATTTTAAAGTTCGTCAGAAATACGTCAAATAGTTAAACAGTCAAAAATTTCGTCGGAATTTCGTCGAAAATATGAACGATCGAAATTATCCATCTAGATTTTTCAGTATTTTCGTCAAAAAATCGTCAGAACTTACAACGGTCAAATGATTCATTGGAAATTTGTCGTAATTTTTTTGACAATTTTTTGACAAAAATTAAAAATATTACGAATTTTAATTGTCGCCTAAAGGATATATAATTTCATCGAGTTTGTGTTGGATTTTTTATCTGACATTTCTGACGACATTGTGTTCTTCGATATTTTGTCGGATTTTTTCTGAAGAAATACCGACGAAACTCAAATTATATAAGTTGTTGGTATCTCGTCAGAAATCTGTCAAATAAACTGTTGCAATTAATGTCCATCGGAATTTGTCTTTATTTCTTTTAGTGTAACTATTATAAGTTTTGGCTTTAGTCTTTAATTATTGATACTATTGATCTAATATACCAGAATTCATACCAAACATTGCATGTGTTGGGTAGGACATAAATCACTACTTTTCTATAAACATAAAGCCAACTTTTTGAGAACTCATAAAGTCAACCTATATAAGAATATTTTCCACTTTGAAATTAATTAGTACATCAAATAACAAACAACAATTTTATTTATTAGTTTTAGGTAGAAAATGAAATGTTTATTTGTTGTTATTGTAACTTGTGGACTATCAATATCTTACACGTCAAAATTGAAAATATTTGTGTTTTCCTAAGTTAAGGAAGTGTATTCATCTATAGTTTGAGGTGATTTGAATTTTAATGATATTTTAGATGATTTCAACGAATTGAAAATTTTAAAATGTTTTTTTTGTTAAACCACTATAGAATATCACTTAAAACTATGAGACTTCAATTTTAATTTTTGACTAAAAAACTCTACCTAAACACTCTAAAACATTAAAACTCCACAATTTAAAATATTTTCAATAATAGTGGATTTCAGAATATTTTATGAAAGATCAAGTTTAATAATAGTGAATTTTAAATGAATTTTTGAAATTCATATTTAAATAACAGTAAATTTGTCATTTTTATACAAATCACCTAAAACTCTCAGTTAAATACACCCCTCTTAACGAAAACTCATCATATTCGTATATCTTTTCAAATTGATCCTCAACTACACAGAAAATAAGCTAACGCATGATATTTTAAAAAAAAATTAAATATTTTAAGTACACTAATAATATGATTTTCATGATGATATATACTAACAAGATTACAGGGTAGAAAAATATTAGTTAATATATGTACTGTCTACAATTCGTGTAGCTTTCAATAACTTTTTACTATGTTCTAAATATATTTCATCATATTATATCCAGCTTCCATATATTCTCTGTTTTCAGTACTTAATTTAGAAGAATTTTTTTGTTTCAAACTAAATAACTTTTTCCATTTATGATGCAAAATTTATTAGTCTTATACTTACTCTGTTTCAAAATTATGTAATAGTTTATGTTTTAATTTTTACACATATTAATAAAATATATCAAATTTCATTATATAATGTATACTTTGTGATTATCTATTTCCCATAATTCTAAACCATTAATAATCTACTAAATATAATTAATTTTTCAAAGTTTACAATTAATCATTTTGAAACATTTTTTTTCTATTTGAAAGATTTCTTTTTTGTATTTGAAACAAAAAAAATTTCTAAAATTTGTATTTTTATGAAACAATGTGGTATTATATGACCATTTATAGTTATATTTTATTTTATCATTCCTCATATTGCGGTTAGGTGAATAGTTAATAATGTTTTTAATTAAAAAAATTAAAAGTTACTTAAATTGTATGAAAAATTCTGAAATGTCATCTATCAAAAAGACAGAGAGTGTTTTATTATTGTGAGTTTAGGATCCATTACATTTGTACCAAAATAGTATTTCGTGGTACACGATTATAGAAGTTGTGCGGCATGTGTCTTGACTGTCTAGATGGTGAAAGCAACGCCAAAGAAAAATACACAACCATTTTCATACGGTGTCAATAAACTATGATTGCTTTGTCAATAAATATGACATAATATTACAATCAGAAATCGAAGTATATGCCAATATTTGAAAAACAGAAAAGTATATACCACTAGTCTTTAGTTTTGTGAATGTCTTTCAAAGTTCAAACTATCATTTGATTGACTGATTCTCTTTATTTCTAATTTAAGAATTCTTATTAAAGGGGGTGTCGCTTTCTACACTAGTTTTGAGTTTTTTTTTTCCGGTGTAGCCATTATTCAATTCCATGACAGAACCAGAGTTGACAAGACATTACGTGCTCTGTAATAACTCGAGTCGCTTCTTATATTCATGTCAAAACAAAAAAAAGAGTTACAAGTTTGGTCTCATATCAGGATTACAAAAGATGGCGGAAAAGGTAGAAGTATCTGTTACAGAAGGAGAAAGCACGATTGAAGAAAGAGACAGAGAAGCTATGAGGGAATTTGAGGAGGGACTCGATCAACCCATGGATGAAGAAGCTGATATGCTCAAGGACATGCACAGAGAAAAGGTAACTACTTACTCTGTTTCATTATGTTTGACTCAGTTTCATATAGAGAGTTTGAGAAATGGAGAAAAGTTTAGGTTTTTTAACTTTGCTTTTTCATCAGGGCTTGTCAGTGTGGATGTTACTGAGACTATCATTCCAAAGTCTAGGGATAGTTTACGGCGATCTAGGGACTTCTCCATTATATGTGTTCTACAATACATTCCCTGATGGAATTGATGATAGTGAAGATGTGATCGGAGCTCTTTCTTTGATCATTTACTCTCTTCTGCTTATACCTCTCATCAAGTATGTGTTCATTGTCTGCAAAGCTAATGACAATGGTCAAGGTAAGTTTTTAAAAAGATTGATCGTTGTTTTTAAGCAAATCGGTTTAGTTTATTCTAATGAATGATTATGTGCAGGTGGGACTTTAGCTATATACTCATTGCTTTGTAGACATGCTAACGTGAATCTCATCCCGAATCAGCAACGCAGCGATGAGGATCTCACGACTTATAGTCGAACTTTAGTCGCTGAAGGATCTTTTGCTGCTAAGACAAAGAAGTGGTTGGAGAGTAGACATTCAAAGAAGAGAGCCCTTCTTGTCATTGTTCTTCTAGGGACGTGTATGATGATAGGTGATGGTATCTTAACCCCAGCCATCTCCGGTAACTAAGCTTCTCCTCCTTTCTACTTCTTTAACTTGGCATGTTTACTCAAACTTTTCAGTTTATGAAACCTTCTTTCTTACAGTTCTTTCAGCCACTGGTGGGATCAGAGTCAACAATCCAAAGATGAGCAGCGGTAACATGTCGTATTCACGTTTCATGTCTATTTAGTTTTTTTTTCTCACTTGCTATGATCATTTTTTTTTGCAGACATCGTTGTGCTTGTGTCTGTCATCCTTTTAATTGGACTGTTCAGTATGCAACACTATGGTACAGACAAAGTGGGTTGGCTGTTTGCGCCTATTGTCCTTATTTGGTTCCTCTTCATTGGAGCCACTGGCATATACAACATATGCAAACACGATACAAGCGTTTTAAAAGCGTTTTCGCCAACATATGTATACTGGTACTTCAAACGACGAGGACGACATGGTTGGATTTCGCTAGGTGGCATTCTTCTCAGCATAACAGGTAAAGTTAGCTTCAAATAAATTATTTTGTTATCTCTAAACTGCTTATATTAGGTATCAAAGTCTCACATCAGAAGTTAGAAACTATTTCTAAAATGTTTCTTATTAAAAATTGTAGGCACGGAGGCACTATATGCGGACATTTCTTATTTTCCTTTACTAGCGATACAGCTCGCTTTTACACTTTTTGTGTTCCCTTGTCTTCTTCTAGCATATTGCGGGCAAGCGGCATATCTTGTGACCCACAAGGAACATTATAAAGACGCCTTCTATGCATCTATCCCTGGTTTGTCCTAAACCTTTTCCAAAAGCTTTACTAGTCTTGAAGTCATAAATATTCTGCTCTTCCAGAACATCAAAATTCTTATTAAGGACAGAGTCCCATGTTAGAAGTTAAAAAGACTTGAATTATTATAAAGGATATAAGTTATTTTACTCACTGTCATTTGGTTTATTCGTTTATTGGGAAACTCATCTGATTTATATGATATCATTATAGACATATACGGAAATATATGATTAAGGGTTCACATGTAATTAGTAATTATTAGGTATTGGCGGCTCTGATACCATATTGGTTAAATGATTCATTCGATGAATTATTGTATGTACAAAGCTATATATACTACATAGAGAGAAGTAGTACTAGGGTATTGCATTTGAATGTCTATAATCCATAACTCATACAATCCAATCCGACCAAAATTTGGTCCTGTCGATCATTACCCGATATTCTGAGATTAATGGTTAAAGAATCCTCATATAACTAACCTTATTTTGTTTTGACCCCGCAGATAGTGTATATTGGCCAATGTTAGTAGTCGCTACTGGAGCTGCAATCGTTGGGAGCCAAGCTACCATCTCAGGGACTTATTCGATAATCAAACAGGCTGTGTCTCATGGGTGTTTCCCTCGAGTTAAAATTGTTCACACTTCCAAAAAGTTCCTCGGTCAGATATATTGCCCTGATATTAACTGGATACTCATGATTGGTTGCATCGCTGTCACTGCTAGTTTCAAGAACCAGACCGAGATCGGAAATGCATACGGTAAGATTTACATAACTAGAGGTTTTCATTTTGGTTAGATTTTGATTTTTCATCTGACTGTTTTGGTATCTTGGTGAATATTAGGAACTGCGGTTGTGGTTGTGATGCTTGTGACCACATTACTGATGGTGTTGACCATGCTTCTCGTGTGGCGGCTCCACTGGATCGTTGTCCTTGTATTCGCCATTCTCTCCCTTGTGGTTGAATTGTCCTACTTCTCGGCTGTGCTCCTAAAGATAAATGAAGGAGGATGGGTTCCACTCATCATAGCAGCGATCTGTCTTTTGGTAATGTTTGTTTGGAATTACGTAACAGTCAAGAAATATGAGTTTGAAGTGCACAGTAAAGTTTCCATGAGTTGGATCCTCGGTCTCGGTCCCAGCCTTGGTCTTGTACGTGTCCCTGGGATAGGGTTGGTACACACGGAACTAGCGAGTGGTGTCCCTCACATCTTCTCTCATTTCATCACTAACCTCCCAGCGACTCACTCTGTTGTAGTCTTTGTATGCGTCAAGAACCTCCCCGTCTACACTGTTCCTGAAGAAGAGAGGTTTCTTGTGAAGAGAATCGGACCGAAGACATTCCGAATGTTCCGCTGCGTAGCCAGGTACATTCCTTTCTTCTCCTCTGTGATATAGACAAAGAGTTTTAAATCTCTAATACAAATGTTATAGGTATGGTTACAAAGATCTACACAGGAAAGACGAGGATTTCGAGAACAAACTGTTTGATAACCTCTTCTCGTTCATTCAAACCGAAACAATGATGGAGTCAGATTCAAACTATAGCCAGGGCGCGTATTCCTTCAACCATAGACAAGAGTCCAGGGATGACTTGATACGTAACAACAACAACAACCACGATAACAACATGGTTATGTTCTCATCGATGGTGGACTACACGGAATCCCCGATAGTTCCAGCTGATTCACCGCATAACGCAATGAGTTTCAGTCAGAACTACACGGTGGAGGAAGAGGAGGAGGAGGAGGAAGATGAGTTAGAGTTTCTAAAGCTTTGTAAAGAGACAGGGGTTGTCCATATCATGGGAAACACTGTGGTGAAAGCAAGAAAAGGATCGTTGCTTCCAAAGAAAATAGCCATTGATTATGTTTATCGGTTTCTTGCTAAGATGTGTAGGGAGAATAGTGCTATCTTACATGTTCCCCATGAAGCCCTTTTAAATGTTGGACAAGTATATTATGTTTAGCTTTTCTTTTATTCAACTTTTGTAAACCAATTGTTGATACAGGGTGATAACGGATACTAATCACAAGGCTAAACCATAGAAACTGTTATGGCCTCGGTTACGTTGACTTTCTTTATCGAGATGAATCTTAGTACGTCTATTAGAAGTCCTGACACGATCTCATGATCTATATATGTATAATATGTCGCATATTTCTGTTTATGAATATTGTATTTGGTTGTGTTGTATTTGATTATATATCTCTATTTGTACTTCAGTATATCAATTAAATCTGTTTAAATGGAACATACATATATATATATATATATATATATTATGTTATTAAGATTAATTTTAAGGAAATATATAATTATAAAAAACATTGTTGTGAATTACCCCTTTTTATGAAATCGTATTATGTATAATATATATTCTTAATTTATAATTTTTTAATGTTTTGTATTTTTTGTTATATATGTTATTCATATAATATAAAAAGGATACAATTTTTTTTTTTTTAAAATACTAAGTATTTTATGATAATGACAATTAGATGTTAAAGTTAGTGCCATACGTAAGAATTAGATTTCTCAAATAAATTTGTAATTATTTGATCCAAATTAACTTGTAGTAAAAAAAATATTTCTTTTATTCTCCTAAAATCTGTTATTTTGCTTAAAATTATTTTGAAAATGATATTATTAAATATTTAAATAAATAAACAATGATATTTTTTTAATAAAAATGTGTTATATAATTCAAATATTAAATTACTTTTTAACATTTAAAACATACCCAAATTACATTTTTGATAAAACATAAAATATATGTAAATGATTAATTAAATAAAAAACAATTATAGATACTTTTATCTATGTAATTGGGAAAAGAATATATAACGAAATTTTAATTATTATTAAAAATTAACAAAACTATTTTGAAAATCATAATAAAACATCTTTGTACTATTAATTCTAAAATATTTTTAGCTCTTTAATGGTTTATTTTATTGACATTTTTAATCATATGAGAAATATTTTGATAAAAATAAAATAATTTTATTACTTAATATATATATGTGTATATATATATTGTGTTATTTAAGATTATGTTTCAAAGGAAATACGTTAAATTTTTAATATTATCATTATTTTTCTGAATTTTCCTTTTTGAAGAATGTCATTTCTTAAAAATAGTTGATTCTTTAAATAAATAATTTCATTTATATATGTTATTTGGAAATAATATAAAAAGAACCAAGAATTAGAAGAATAAGTTTTGGATAAGTAAGTTAACTATAATACTTTTAATTCATTAATGGTACTTATGTAATTAATCATCGTAAGAATTAACAATTCTTTTTTTTTTGGTGAGAAGATAATTAACAATTAACGTGAGCACGACATTTACGAAATTATCAAATAATAGTATACAGATAGAGATATGAAAATATTTTATTATAAAATATCATTATCCAGGTTTATTACTGTAATAGAAGTTTAATTTTTTCAATCCTTAAACACACAAGATAATAGTTATAAAAGTAAATTATAAACTTTTTATTAAGCTAAAATAGTTATTTTAAGTTTAATATCGTAAGAATTAACAATTCTTTTTTTGGTGAGAAGATAATTAACAATTAAAGTGAGCACGACATTTACGAAACTATCAAATAATAGTATACAGATAGAGATATGAAAATATTTTATTATAAAATGTCATTATCCAGGTTTATTACTGTAATAGAAGTTTAATTTTGTCAATCCTTATACACACAAGATAATAGTTATAAAAGTAAATTATAAACTTTTTATTAAGCTAAAATAGTTATTTTAAGTTTAATATGTATTGCCCTATATATAATACTAGTATTATGACCCCTGCTATGCAGGGACACTTATATTTATCATTATGAAATATTAATTAAAAAAGATATTAAAAGTATATAAATGGGGTAAATATACATGTTTTGGTAGAAGATTAATAAAAGTATTAGCTATTATAAATCTCAAAAACATATTGGCTATTATGATTGCTTTATTATAGTTTTATATTTATAAAAAGTATAAACATAAAAGTATGATTAAATAGTTAGATAAAAATAAAATCACAACAAATTTATGAAACATATATGTTAAAATTTTATATCACCAAATACATATTATTATTATATTTTTCCAATAAACCCATTAACCAAAGAAATAAAACACTCGCATACTAAAAGAAATTTTTTTATTATTCGTTTTCATTGTTTTACTTGATTTGTTCTTCTTTTTCTTATGCAAACTTTAAACAAATATCAATGTTGAAATGAAATTTAACCAATGTTTCTAGTTTCATAAATTATATTTAAATAGTATTACAAATATTTATTGTAAAGATCAACAAATTAGATCGAAAGATGATAATGAATGTCATGGATTATAAAAAAATAGGGACAACTTTAAAAAAGCTACAACTTACCAAGTTGACACCATCATTGTGTCTATATATTCCTTCTTCTTTTCAATTTTGCTGGTGATTTTTCTTCCGGTGTTCTGATGGTTTGGTTTTCACCGAAAATTATGAGTAATATTAAATTTTAACTGGACAAAAGAATCTGCAAAATGAACTGAATAAAATGCTGAAAAATCAAACATGAAACCAATTATCCAATCCCAAGTTTCACTCGTCTCCTCATTTGACGCCAACCATGCAGATAGAACTTTCACAAAACTCTTGAATCATCTGAAGTTGTTGTTGATAAATGAATAAAGTTCAAAACAACTCAGTCTTCTACAAAAAAAAAGTAAAAGAAAAAACTAATTCTCTGTCTTTCAAGGGAGAATGAATGTTTTCAAATCTTTTGATTCCAGTTTTCTGTCTTCTTGTTCCACCATCTCTAGACTCACGTTTTGCTCTGCAGTTCATGAAGTGGTTCTTTAGTGGGTATTTCTCGCATATTGTGGAAAATATATAATTATAAATACCAACAAAATAATACATAAAAGATTGAAATGGCAAATGATCGTGAGTAGTGGGAATGTAACCACCGAACAATTTATCTCTTATTGATAAGTTATTTTGCTTTTAGGGTCTAAAACAACTTTCAAAAACTGAAAATTATATTTTAGAAAAATGCTTTTTTTTTGTTTTTCTTTTCATTTTACACATTTTAATTTTTTTTTCTTAAATTCACGTGTCAATATTTAATTGGTCATGCGACTTACGCTTTAGTATATAAAGGATATACAAAATAATATATCTCTGTAGATCAAACTTATTTGTCTTTTGTTTATTATTAATCTGCTCTACATTAGTTTTATTTTTATGTTTAGTGATTTTAAAAAGAAATAAAGTATTTCATATTTTTACTGTGTCCCACATTGGTAAATTCCTTTAAATATTTAATATTATAATAAGCTAATGTTATGATCTCATATTTAATAAATAATTTGTATATTTAATTGAATATAACGTAAAAACTTAAACCCAAAACAACATTAACTAATACTAGATCTTTTGGCTGCGCTACGCGCAGCTAATTGTTTTTAAAAAAATTCTAATTATATTGTTTATATATATAATATATTGTATAATTAAACTTATAATTAAAAATAGAAGAAATAGAGTGTTAAATTAAATAGAAAAAATAACGATTGACTAAATCATTGTAGTTAATGAAAGTAAGAGTTTCATAACTAATACGAATAATGACCATTTTTACAAAATATAGATTTTTTAGTTTTTTTAAACAGAGCCCTCATTTTATTTTTGGTATAAATAACTTATTGTCGTTTTCTATCTTCAAAATGTTGGTAGAAAACAACCACTATCAAATCTGATAATTAAGTATATAAAATGAATTGACTTTTCTGTAAGTTTACAATAAAATCATAGAAATTTAATATTCTATATATTTTGTTGTTATGAGTAATGTTTATTTATTCTATTTATTTATAAATTTGATGATATTAATTTATCCTTGCCATCAGTATTTTGAATACCAAACCGAAGATTAACTTGACATTGCAGTTAGGTCAATGGTCACACCGGTCCAACTATGTTTTAAATTTAATTTAATTTTAAGTTTAGTATCTATATATAGATATAATTATAAAATTATATTTATAAGAGTTTTATCATTGTTCGAAGCTAAAATGATATGGAAATAAAATGAAAACTTCACAAATAATATAAAATATAATGAAAAATAATTTATTTAAATAAATATTAAAAACAATACAGATTTTTATGAAAGTTTTTTTAAAATTTTACATTTTTTAACTTGAACTTGAAAAAAAAAAATCAGGGTTTAATATCGATTGGACCATCGGTTTTAGCGAGTAACCGATTTTTAAACCAAATTTTGTTAGTTTTTAACACAACTCAAAATTGTTTAGAAGAGAGATAGTCATGATCCAATCAGCTTGTTCCGGT